AAGTGATATAATATATTTTACCTGAATTTAATAATTTTGAAACTTTTGAAAGCAATTTTAGATATGATACCAATTTTGAATTGTAGATCTCATACATACTAATCAATCTGACCAATCGGAACTCTTTATTTTTAAAATATAATATTATTAAAAATTGTAATTTCACAAATTTATATCTCAAGAAAGAAAAGAAAATTAAAAAAATTAGCCAAGTTATAGCTTGAGCAAAAAACTATTAGTTTGTTAAATTATTATCTTTCCTTTTTAAGTTATAACACTTGATATGATGCCATTTAAAAGTGGATGTCCCCCCTCCCACTGTTCAATGTGCATGTAATAAATATCAAAAAACAACATGGAGCCCAAAAAACCAACTAAAAACTCACATTTCTTGACACACACCTGAGAAATTTCATCGTTGGATTGATCGTGGTCTACTTCAAGACATTGTAGCTTCTCGTCTACAAAAATTCTTGAAGATGAACAAGCGAATTATGGAGTATTCGTTGATCATCTATGGCGACTAATTTATTGGATTTATTATCAGATGCAGAGCTTATCGTTATTTTGTGACTAACGAAGTAAGAAATCGACGACAATTTCATAAAGCACTACTTGACACATCCGTGTTTTATGTAAAGTGAAAATCAATATCGATGTAGTCTGGAACTGAGCATATCGATATGGATAAAAGCTATAAGTCGACGCGAATCAATGCACAAACAAGGGACCCCTGTCACAAAATCAAAAATTACATGTATTACGACAGCCCATTGTACAATGAAGGACCGCGAGAAAAATCTGTGATGCAAGGAATTACCTTTCTTGGTTTATTGCATAAATCCCAAGCGAAGTAACGGTAACGGTAAGGTGAAATGCCGAGATTTATGACATCATTGCTATTTAAATTTCGAACAAATACGTAATGGAATATAGCATCCGAAAGCCAACAACATTATCACTAGCGCTAGTTCTTAGTCAGGGACTTAAAGTCTTTGTTTCAACCCCCCTCTTTTACCAAGATAAGGAAGAGATAACCCTTTGATTACTCCTTTTTTATTTACATGTACCATTAACGTATGTTGCACAGCCAAAGTACAGTATTCCACAAAAGAAAATAATTATATGTTACATAGTGTAAATAATAGTACGTACATGTATTTATAGACGAGATGGTATGTGAGAAATAATTTGGTTTTCTTATTTCTAACAAAATGAATTCGGACGCAATATGTAGCTGTTCATCAAATGATGAAGCAAACCAATTAAACCAATTAATATCGATATCAATATGCGATACATTTCCATTTCTAACTAACATAATTGAGAAATTCTACTATTGGATCGATCGTGATCTAGTGCCGGAAACTATAGCATTTCGGTTTCGAGAAATTCTTCAAGCTGAAAATATTAACAATCAAGATTTCGTAGAACATCTCTTTTCAAATCACTCCGAAACACACATTTTATTACCGTTGCTTGGATTCCTATTTCAAAAACATAAATATTTTTTCTCGATTTTTAAACTCAATGCTCTCGGGCTTGATTCAGAACTAGCCGCGCAAATAATCGCATATGACTTTTACGAAAAATCAGCAGAAAATGGAAATCAATATGGTCAACTGTTTCATGGGATTGAGCTTTTAATGAGAGCAAGCGAGTCGATGGAACAAGGATTCTATTACATTGAAAAGGCTGCGATTCAAGGAAATACTTCTGCGATGGTCTTGTTAACTTCCGATTATGCTTATGCCGAGAAACCTGGAATTTTCGGTAGATGGAATGAGAATAAAAAATTTAAAGCACTAAAGAAATGTGCCTTTGCTGGAAGTATTCCTGCTGAACAGGATCTGTTTGATAGATATTTGGAAGGATTTGGAACTTCTAAAGATTTGCATGAGGCATTGAAACTTTATTATCATCAGCATCTGGATGATGATGTGTTATGGAGTGATCACTATTATCGTAAAATGCAATTAAGAGACCTTTTTTTGAAGAACAAATATTGAACTATAAATTTCTTCTAAGAATTTTTTGTTGTGTGATTAATTTGATCTCCTCTGTAGACTTATTTATCTCCGTATCAAAATTTTAAATTATTTCATAAGCAATTTGCGGTCAAATTTTTATGAATGAATGATACATGTACTAAATTTCTGAGCTACACATGTTTCCTAAATATATATTTTTATGCTTAAAGCTTTGATAACGATGATTATCGAACTCTTTGAGAGGCATATATTTCACCCACTCTTTAAGTTGTTCAATCAAGGGCGAATTACGTCTAACGGAAGGTAAAAATAAACTGAAATAAATTTGTCGTTCTTGACAGACATTGAGCATAGAGAGTAAATCCCCATAACGATAACGATAAGTAAATGCAAGCTCGCCTAATCCAGGCCTTTTTATAGGCTTGGTTTGATTAGACAATAAAGAAGCGAGTATTTGTGGTGTTAAGTGTTGTATAATGAGTTGATGTTACTTTCAGATAGTCCGATCCAAAATTCGTCCGGAAAAGATTCAGGTGTGAAATATCCATCAGGTGGTGTTCGTTGTATTGAGAGCTGCTGTAAGCTTTGAAGTTTCGTAATCGCTTGAAGGAATGATGGAATGACGGAATCGTTGAAGTGTCAAGATAGACTTCCAAACATAAAAGATTTGTGGCGTAATCTGTAATGCAACTGAATAATGCATGGTTGCAATCTTTGAGAGTAAGAATTTGGAAACTCCAGAAATCTTTATCAATGGGATCACAACTTCATGATTGATTCCGGAGAAATCGAATATAGTTGCCGCAGAAGTTTTGGTCGTGATGTTTTCCAACAATTTAAAGTTGCACTGGATCCGGGATTTACTTGGCAACCAATGAATGCTATTGCCTCTAATTTGATGAATGCACCAAAGATTGTTAAGTAAATTGATTGCCCAATTTGAAAATTTAGAAATCACAAATTCGAAAGAGTTCCATCGCGACTTAAGGGCAGAAATAATTGACAAATGTTTTAAGCATATAAAAAACAATGTGCTTTATATGTTTTCGTGATTCAATTAAGCTGCAAAGGCGCTGAATAGCACTTTCAATAATTATATTCAAATTCACTTCCAAATAGGTGATACAATTTTAACCCAAGAATCAATTCACTGACATTCATGGGATAATTGTAATCGTTGCAAATTGAGATTTTTGCTTGCAGCGTCACTTCTTTCAGGTTAGCCAGTGCAACGGATGCATTCGGTAATGCCATGAATTCCAGAGGTAATGTCATGAATTCCGGCAAAGAATAATTGCTTGAAATAACGAGCTTTTCTAAATTGGCAGTTCGGACGATGAGCTTACAGAGCTGTGTTCTAATTTTCTCTTTCATATTCTCAATATCAAAATATTTTATCCAAATTGAATCTTTGGGGATATACTGGACTGGTCGTGATTTTGAGTATTGCGATAAACCAAGTAGTCGAGACTTGACCAATTGATTTTTTTAATGAACGCAGAGTACAGAAAAAGTGAACAAGGGCATGATGCTGCGTAGTCGATTCCGGAATTAATCAACTCTACGCTCTTCCTCATTCATGCATCTTATAAAAGTTTCCGTATTCATGCCTACGAGTTAAAGTATTGGACCACAATAATGGCATTATCGTTCGACACCAAGTTCGATTAGCCAACGTTGCGGAAAATGCTGTGGATAAATCATCGATCAGATATGTGAAAATTTTGTCGAAACACTCAATTGGTAGGTCTGAAATGGTGATGTTGCCAACAATGCTACTACTTTGACTATTCCGTTATAAAAGTTTTTTTGTTTAGTTTCTGTATCTGACCAGGTCATTTGACCTCTAAAATTTAATATCATATGGATTTTAGCCAAAAAACCTGATTACGTATTGATTTTGCTAGTGGATAACGCATAAAGCTATTTCAGTCAAACGCGGCATAAAATGTTATATACGTACGGTACCATTCATAGGCCAGGTTTTTGGTGTAATGTAATATGTTTTAATTCTGGCTAAAATTACAAATTTGCTCCTTCTTCTGTAGAATATAATATTTAACGTTAATAAATGAACTGAGCAACAGAAATTTTGACCTGAATTTGAAACATACCGATACGGCACTGTATCGTCTTAACGGTAATACTTAAATGTGCGGGGATGGACAAATCAAATTTCCCAAATAAGAAAATTTGTGGTTAGCGTTAGTAAATGCCTCTGCCGGATGGCACAAACCAATAAGAATGAGCAAATTTTTGATCAACCCGGAAAAACAAATCTGATACAAGAAACGAAAAATGCGAAAACAGGTGTTGAAATTTGATCTGAAGTACTAATAAAAAATATTAGAAAGACAGTTTTACATATAAACTTGTTCTCCAGCTCTAACCCTAACCCTAACCTAATCCAAGCGATAAATTAGCATTACTAGCCACATCTTTCCTATTCGGAACAAACCAATGAGGATGCGTAAATTTTTAATCAACTCGGCAAAACAAATTTGAAGCAAAGACAAAAAATGAAAAAAATACTGAAAACAGGTGCTTAAATCTTTTTTGGAGCACTAATTAAAAATGTCGGGAAGGCAATTTTAAATATAAACTTGATCTCCTTCCTAACCCCAACCCTAACCCCAATGTTGAAATTACCTTTTAATATTTTTAAGATATATCACGTGATGAACTACGCTTTCTATTCGGGAAGCTTGTGACAACCCAAATTAGTCATCTCTTTTCCGATTAAGATTAGATAACGATGAGTACTATGTTCATTTGCAGAGCCCGTTCCTACCATGCTTCGACGGCTCCGTTATAATGTTCTTTATAGCTGGTTCCGAAAAATAGCTCCCATTATAGACAGACTCCGATATATTGATCGTGTCTTCTGCACCTATGGTACGTAGTTATTTGGCAGTCCTTATTTTAAACTTTGTATTATCGTTATTGCTTTCTTACGACTGACAAAAATCGGAGGAAAAACTAAGAATTATTGTTAAAATAAAAAATGATACCAGACTTGTTATTGAACAGACCGGTAAATTCTATGACATTCTATTATTGTCGGTGAAAACCAGAATACTCAACGTACTTTTTTCAGCCAATATCGAAAAACGGATGTCAGTTTTCGAATGATTTTTCTTTTCCTCTCTAAATATGTTTGAACCTGAAAACATTTTGTTTCAAAAAATTATCTTTATTTTCAAAATAGCAATTAAGACCCAAATTTAATACGTTTTTTATAACCTGAGGTAAAGAACTCATTCAATGAATCCAAATAGGATCACACAAAATTATTTTTCTTTAAGACGATGATGACGACGTTAACTGCATCCGGAAATTAATTCATAGCACTCTGTAATTATTCCTTTAATGTAACGAGCTCTGTTGTCCGATACTTATTAATAATGCACAATTTTTGCTCTGGAGTAAAAAATTTGAGACATTTTGACTATGACTGTTATTTATGTTATATTTCTTTGCGAAATTGACCACTATGACACAGTCACTCTCTTTATAGGGTTAAAATCACAGAAATTCTCCACCATAACGAATTATCCACTATATAGAAAGAAAATTTACTAATTGTATTAACGGTAAGACTTTTTGTGCAACAAGCTCCACGCATCGAGAGATTCACTTTAAAGAGCCTCCACTATAAAGAGATTCACTGTGTATTAAAAATAGTCCAGAACTGAATTCGTATATGTACGCGGTTTCGTTGCGGTTGTTATTATTGTCCGTTTTGTCTGTGTATTCGGTTCTGTGCTGCCCTCGAGGTCACAACATACTGTTGGACAAACGACAGTTGAATAATACATGTACATAAGTACATGTACCTAATTTTATTCTACTTTGATTCCAGTGCTTTACTGAATATCAGTGTGTTAATACGGTTCCATTTAGCCACATACAGTCATTTACTCTGTCCTTTTTTACCCTTCGAACATCTATTTTCCCATAGATATTACATGTTTTACTTTCAACGCCATAAACGAACCCAATTTGTTTATTTCCGAACGATACTCATAGTTTGTCTGCCAAGTCTATGGATATATAATTGTCACAAGCCCCTTTATCAAACTTTACTAACCCATGCATTCAGAATTTTCCTTTCCAGGGTGTCAATTCCTTTTTTATTCGGGATGCAGATATATTTTTTAGGCGAAAGGATTTGATTTTTAATCCTTTATTCGTATTATCGACTGATTACGCCTGGGTCTGCTGATATTTTATATAGGATTCAGTCTTTATTGGAGGTAGAATCTTGTTCATTTTCGATTATCCATTTTTTTTGTTGAATGGCATTTGTCCGATGTCTCCACAATCAAAAAATTTAATAGGTCCATTTTTGTATTATTGCTTTTTCTTTTTCCACAATTGAAATTTTGTTTTTCATTAAATGCCCCTCAAATTGGTCAGTTGTTTGAATCCCGTTCAAGGCTTGGGAGTTTCTGAAAATTTAGTGTTTTTTGGCATCTTTGTATGCTGTTTCATAATTATTCAATTCTCTCCAGAAATCTTCTTCAGTTAGAATTATTCGTCCAAGCATAAATTGTTTTGCGCTGTGCGGTAAGGTTCGTAAATAGAAGCTTTTTTCAAGGCTTAAAAAATCAGTTTCATACTGGTACGTTTTTTAATTGTATTTGCTGATTTTTCATCTGGGTTCCATTTCATAGATTGATTGAATGTCATATCATCAAAGCATCCAGTTATGAAGGAAGGTTCATTAGTTTATGGAGGCGTCTGGCGTATTCTTCTGGATTACCATAGGAATTCGTATGATTCGGTCAAATAGGTGTCAGTTTTTTCAACGTGTCTGCTATTTTCTTGTAATGTTTTTGCTATGCGAGTGCTAGTCCTGTTTGCCAGTTTATATCAAGTTTTCTTCGTTTAATTCCTGAATTTTCAATATTTTGATTTGTTTTTCTGCGAATTTCACTAAATTAAATATCATTGTTGTTGGCTATGGTTAATCATCACCGTAATTATCATTGCAATTCTCTATGGCATTATCGCTATTCTTATCAAGCAATTCAGTGAAACAAAAAAATAAATTGTAGCAAAGATTCTTTATTTATTAAACAAAAAATGGGAGAGTAGCAGTACATGCAGTAGGAGTAACGGAGACGGACACAGAAGGTGCAAACAATGGTGCCATTATTATTTTGGAAGAAGAAAAAAATCGATCACTATCCATTTTTTGCTTTAAATAAATTTGCAAAGAATAAGATTCGTACCACTGACCGGGGGTGCTGCATTTATTTATACATGTAAATATACCCTCGTCAGAGACTTGATTGCTTTTAATCTGAAGGATTTGGAAGCAGAACAAAGATGTAGAATGCTTTTTGGAATTTTCAAAGTGAAGCGAGCAGATATTATTTGCAGAAATGTGAGCGATTGGATCAAAAATTAATGAAGCTGCGGAAAGTTTCCATATTTTTATTATCGTTATCATTTAAGAAAACAAAAACGATCTTCAGTTCCCCGCATATAATCAGAGCATTGATATACGCGGTTTTTAATGGATCGAAGAATGAAAAATATCCGTAAACAACAACTTTGTTTTGTATTTTATTGTGGTGTATTTGTGTAATGTATATTCTTTTTAATTCACCGTTATTGATCTGTAAAAAATCAATGAATGGAAATAGAATTTGTTTATGTGCGTTTAATTATATCGATATTATCATACATTTAGTTCCCAAATACGTACACACCCCTACAATATATTACCGGAAATTTCAAAAATGAATTTGTCACTTTGGAACCCGATATCTCGACATCCGGTGATCCCTTTCGAACAAAGATATCACCATTAGATTCGTATAGTTGAGACAAATCTAATGGTAATATCTTCGAAAGGGATCACCGGATATCGAGATATCGGGTTCCAAAGTGACAAATTCATTTTTGAAATTTCCGGTAATCTATTTAATCTATTGTAGGGGCGTGTATATAATAACGATAATATGTAGTTGACTGGAATCTGGATGTCCAGTTCCAGTGAAGATTTTCACTGGAAGAATTTTCACTTGCATAATGTTAACCAATAAAATGCATGCTAATCAATCAAAATAAAGTTCAATTTTTCTTGTAAAATAATTTATTTAATTTTTTATAATAAATCAATTTGATTTTAAAAATAATAGAAAATTTTTGAGAATACTGGTTCAAGCTATTGTTCTCTTGAGAACGCACTTTTGCTCTGACATTTCAAATATTACATATGTTACTACATTTATTTATACATTTAATTATATGTTAAATTTTAATATCACTGGTAGTGATACGAATCAATCATTTTTTTTTGCTAATCGATTATTCAGTCATAAGCAAATAAAATCAATTTGATCCAGTTAAGAATGATCCGG